GGAGGCCCCGTGTGCGAGCACTGGACAGCTGAGCGGAGCGGCCTCCTGAGTGAACTTCCTCTGGAGACGCCAGAATGCGGACCATAACATGACCCAGAAGGTGTGACGAGCTCTCACGATTCAAATAAGAAGACACCCGACGTGAAAGGCGCACACCTTCTCGGGGAGGAACCACGGGGATGGCTCTGAGCACAGGACCCAGGTCGCCTCACCAGTCGGGAACGAGACACCCGACGGGGGCGCTGCCGCTTCCTGCTAACGCACACTCCAGCTTCCTGCTAACGCACACCCCAGGAAGCAGCCGGCCATGGCTTGAGTGCGTGGGCCCCTGCCCTCCCCCCTGGCAGACACAGGTGGGGTTCCCAGCTCCAGGCTCCCGCCTGGCCCAGCCCCAGCTACTGTGGGCATTCAGGGGCTGAACGAGTGGAGGGAAGGGGTGTGTGTGTGTGTGTGTGCGTGCCCACACGCCTCAGCCGCTGCAGGAATGAGGCAGCAGGTAGGAGCTGTCACCTGTGTTCTCCCTGACCTGCGATGACTGACGGGGCACTGGAAGCAGCTGCAGGCGTGAAGCTGGCACTCTGAGAAGCCAGGACTTGGACCGCCCTCCTCTCGACTCCTGCGCAACTGGCTTGGCTTGCGCACTATGTGGTGAGCCCTGTACTTAACAGAGTTAATCATACGTGTATAAAGGTAATTGAAAATAGTAAAAAATGCGAATGGGAATAGGAGAGGGAGGAGGAAGGGGGGGGTACGGTGGGAAGCACCACCACGTTCCTAAAGTTGTGATTATGAAATGGGTGAAGTTTGTATTCCTTAAATAAAAGGTTTCTGGGGGGAAAAAGGTAGACCCCTGAGGCCTCAGCTCCCCACTCCTCACTTTGAAAAAAATAGTCCTTCTATTTGGCCCATAAGACACCCACGTCCTACAGCGGGGAGCTGGGATTCAAGTCCTGCCTTCTGCCCCCAGCGTCCTGCTAAAGTAGACTCTGGGTGGTGGCAGCTGGTGGCCCAAGTAGCTGGGTCCCTGACACCCATGTGGGAGATCTGGGCTCCCAGTTTTGTGTCCCCCCCCCTCACCATTGTGGACATCTGGGGGTTGAGTCAGAAGTTAGGGGTTCAATCTCTCTACCGCCCAAACTTTTTTTTTTAATTTTTAATCCTCTGTCTCTGCCTCTGCCTCTCTGTAACTCTGCATTTCAAATAAACAAATCTTTTTAAAAAATAAAAACTAAAAAACATACTAATACTAATAAAGGAACCTCGTCTGGTAGCTGCCATACACGGTGGGCCGCCCTAGCCCAGTGCTAGGTGTCAGAGAATTCACCACGCGGCGTCCACCCGTGAGCAACGCCCAGGACGACAAATGTGCAGAGCAAGGGCAGCCCTCGTGCTGGGGGTGGGGCTTGACGGCAGGTGGACCAGGCAGATGAGGGGTCGAGGCGGCAACGCTATAAATCTACCCAGTTACGATGGATGGGTTCCTTGCGGAAGCACAGACCGACGTGGGGTGGGCTGCCAGGAGCTGCGCGGACCTCATCTTGGCCTCACAGGACCCAGCCCTGCGTGGCCCACATGGGCTGTGCACCCTGCTGGCCCCACCGCGTGCCCACAGAGCCCGCTGCACGGCTGCCGGCACTTCCCTCCGCACACAGCCTCTGCTGCTTCTCCAGGTTTGGCCCTTAAAACCAGGGCTCACTGGCTGAGAGGCACGGCGGGAGAACGAGCCCAACGCCAGGCAGCGCGGACGCCCCCTCCAGGGAGCCTGCCGGGGATGCAGCCATCCCCTGATCTCCGTCTCCACTCCTCTTCCTCACTGCCCTGCACTGCTGGGGACCCGCCCCCTCTCACACAGCCAGAGGCCTGCAGAAGGCCGGCCTTCAGCTTACAGCTCCAAGTTCAGGGCGCACTCCTAACGTTCCCGGACAAGGCCGTTTCCAAAGCTGCCCTCTAACGCCCGCATCCCACGGCAGCACCTGGGATCACTCCTGGCTCTGCTTCCTCCTGCTACTGTGGATTCCTGGGTTATCAGATCTCCTCCCATAAATCTCCAATGGGCCCAAACCTCCAAGTCAAGCATAAATACTCACTTAATGAACTTCAGCAACTATGCGGCCAGACCAGTTGGCTGAAGCCCTTCCTTCCCCAGGCCCTGCAGAGCTTAGACCACTGTGATTTACTACGGGAAACAGCCCTTCCTCAAAAATCACACTGACACCAGCCGCCGAAGCCGCTACAGGAAAGGTCAGCACCCAGCTGTCAAACCTTTAGATATGACCCACGGTGCCTCTATTTGCCATACCATATCTACCCTCAAGGCTGCCTGAGGAGTTATTTGGCAACACCACGGGCCACTTTTTTTGGGCGCACATAGCCTGGAGCGAGTGTCGAAAAATAGTTAACAAAGTAGATGCCATCCTTATGATGGGACTTAAATTAAGATATTATGCCAGGGGTCGGCGCTGTGGCGCAGCGGGTTAACGTCCTGGCCTGAAGTGCTGGCATCCCATATGGGCGCCAGTTCAAGTCTCAGCTGCTCCTCATCCGATCCGGCTCTCTGCTATGGCCTGGGATAGCAGTGGAAGATGGCCTAAGTCCTTGGGCCCCTGTACCCGCATGGGAAACCCAGAGGAAGCTCCTGGCTCCTGGCTTCGGATTGGCGCAGCTCCGGCCGTTACAGCCATCTGGGGAGTGAACCAGCGGATGGAAGACCTCTCTCTCTGTCTCTACCTCTCTCTGTAACTGTCTTTCAAATAAATAAAATAAATATTTAAAAAAATATATTATGCCAATAAGATATGTAACACAGAGCCAGACATAGTGGTCCTACCCCTATCACAATTAGAACTGTCCACACTGGGGCCGGCGCTGTGGTGCAGCGGGTAAAGCCCTGGCCTGAAGCGCCGGCATCCCATATGGGCGCTGTTCTAGTCCTGGCTGCTCCTCTTCCAGTCCAGCTCTCTGCTATGGCCTGGGAAGGCAGTAAAAGATGACCCAGGCCCTTGGGCCCCTGCACCCGCATGGGAGACCTGGAAGAAGCTCCTGGCTCCTGGTTTTGGATCAGTCCAGCTCGGAGCATTGCAGCCATAGCCATTCGGGGAGTGAACCAGTGGTTGAAGACCTCTCTGTCTCTCCCTCTACCTCTCAAATAATAAATATTTTTAAAAATTTCATAAACATTTAGTCATAAGCTTTTTCACCTTTAAGAATACAAACGAATTAAATTATTGGGTGTTCACATCAAGATTACAATTTGGGAAGAAGTTCCTCATGGAAGAAATACAGGAACTTGGATTAAAATGAATGTCAAGAGGGGCCACCACATGCAACGCCGTCAAGCCCTACTGAAGCCCTGGCTCGAGTCCTGCCCACCCATCTCCCCACTTAATGCACCTGGGAAAAGCAGCAGCAAGTGGCCCAAGTCCGTGGGCCCCTGCCACCCACATGGAAGACTGGGATGGCTTCAGCCTGGCTCAACCCCAGCCACTGAGGCCACCTGGGAAGTGGACCAGGGGACGGAAGATCTCATTCCATTGCCCTCTCTCCCTCACCTCTCCCTGTCACTCTTTCAGATAAATACTTTAAAAAAAAATTAACGTAAAGGGATCTGTCACCATGAATTAATTTTCTCCATGACTATCTTATTTTCCCTTTTCTAAAATTCTGGTGTTGGGGGCCGGCGCTGTGGCGTAGTGGACGAAGCCATGGTCTGCGGCACTGGCATCCCACTTGGGCTCCGGCTGGAGTCCTGGCTGCCCCACTTCTGACCCAGTTCAGTGCTGATGCACCTGGGAAAGCAGAGGACGGCCCAGGTGCTTGGGCCTCTGCATCTGCATAGAAGACCTGAAGAAGCTCCTGGCTCCTGGCTTCAGATTGGCCCAGCTCCGGCCACTTCAGCCACTTGGGGAGTCAATCAGTGGATAGAAGATCTGTCTGTCTCTCCTACCACGCTCCTAAAACTCTGCTTTTCAAATAAATAAACAGCTCTTTTAAAAAAATTTAAGGGGAAGCACTGTGGCACAGAGGGTAAAGCCACCACCTGCAGTGCTGGCATCCCATATGGTTCAAGTCCCGGCTGCTCCACTTCCAATCTAGCTCTCTGCTATTGCCTGGGAACTCAGTGGAGGACGGCCCAAGTCCTTGGGCCCCTGCGCCCACACAGGAGACCCAGCTGAAGCTCTGAGCTCTGGCTTCCGTCTGGTCCAGCCCTGGCCATTGAGGCCATCGGCAGAGTGAACCAGTGGCAAGAAGACTCTCTCTCTCTCTCTCTCTCTCTCTGCCTCTTAAACAACTCTGCCTTTCAAATAAATCTTTTTAAAAAAATTTTTAAATAAAAATTCTGGGTTTTAACATCACTTTCACTTCAGGGTTAAGGAAGTAAAGAAATCCCTCCAAAAGAGGGGTTAAGGAAGTAAAGAAATCCCTCCAAAAGAGGGGTGCAAGCAGAGAAGGCCAGCACTGCCCTGTCCAGGACGGCCAGGCCCTGGGCCCGACGCTCCTGCCTGTCGTCAGCAGCACGTTCCGGTGCCCCAGAGCACAGTGGGCGATGCGTCCACCATCACAGCCTGTCCGTGGTGAGGGCCCGCAGGTGGGCCGCCGAAGCTTCAAACAGGAACCGTGAGACGGACGTTAAAGACCCCGACCTGAGCAGAGCATGCCGTGTGCCTGTGTTCACATTCCGCCCCGAACCCCAGAGCTCATACAGCTGCAGTTAACCCAGAAATTTCTCACAGGGAAAACCCTAAGAGAGAACTCAGAAGTAGGGAGGATGAGGACACAGACCCTGGGGCCAGGGGCAGGGCAGACACCTCTAAGAACCTGACACCGGACAGTGAACTGAGCCAGGGTCGGAGACGCGGCCTCGTCGTTGGTGACGAGCAGCAAGAATTCGGCAGGTTTCCTTAATACACGGGGCTGACATCTGAACAGCAGTCAGAAAACAACGCTCAAAATCACCTGAATTAGTCTGCGTTAGTTTACGTAATAATAGACACAGGGAAGAGTAATTTTCTTAGAACAATTTATTAACTGATATGCAATAAAGTAAGTTCCCAAAATCTTTCCAGAAATGACAAAGTAGAAAGCAAGGATTTCTTTTTTGCTTCTCTGGGAAGTTTTTAAATGTAAACACGAAATATTTGAGGAAACAATAAAAAAGTAACAAATAAATCTGTAAATATATTGCTAAAAATCTGGTTTCAAATTGGTACATGAGGCTTCAACATAGAAACATGTCAGCTACAAGTGACAGCAGTATCTACACATAAATCAAGAAGCATTTCTGTGACTTCAGCAGTGAAACACAGGTGCAGGACCACCTCAAGTCTACGAAGAAGCCCGTGAAGGGTGCGACGAGCCTGAACTTGAAGACACGGAGGGACGTGAATGGGACGACCCAACCAGCGCAGAAGCCGCTACCCGGGACATAATCGTGTGGACAGCAACACAAGCATGATCTGTAAACATCTGACACGTCTAGGCAGGCACAAGCAGTGAGCACTCCCCACCTGCCGGCCGGGTCAGAGCCGGGTTCCCCCCACGGTGAGCCCGGGGCCACGTGCCTGAGGCCACCGATGCCAGGCACACATACACTGGGACGTGTGAGGCAGGACGAGTGGGGACCACGGCTTCTGGCCTGTTCACTGAGCGCTCACTCTCTCTGGAATCAACCACACGGCGCTGAGCTCCAGCCGGAGGACGCTGCGGTACAGTCACCCACGGGAGCGAGAGGACTCGGCTACCTCCTGGGTGCCTCTCATGTGGTCACTGACAGCCTCACCAGTTCCTCTTTTCACAGATGCCCACCGTACAAGTCTGAGAACAAGCCCTGCGCTTACGCTGAAACATTAACAAGCAATCAAGGTCTGACTCTGGATTCCCGTAACTCTGGGATCACCTTCCTCCCTCCAGCCACATACGAGGCTCCCACCAAGGGCATCCGAGGGATGTGTACAGAGCGTAGGCCTGGGAGAACACTCCATGTCTACAACAACCTTCTGGAGCCGAGAGCGCACGCACTCTCATCGGCCGCGCTCCTGAGCGCAGCATCATTGACTCCCACAGGGCAGCACAGCCTGTCATCATGAACAAAGAAGAGGCCATGTCTTTCCAGAGCAGTAACTGGGTGTTTATTAGCGCGGGTGGTGGGACAGAGACACGGAGCTAAATACAAGCATCCGGAGCTTTCTGGGGCACCTGTGAGTCAGCACCAACAGAGGCACCTGCAGGAGCTCTGAGGCCGTGCAGCCGGTGCTCCTGCGACGACGGCAAGTTGTAAACGGGCACCGATGGTGCTAGTGTCACGAAGCCTCCTACTTCATTCAGAAGGCAACATTTAGCATAGAAAATAGGGTAATGAAGACGTTAATATATTAAACATTTATAAATGCTCAAAATTACAGATATATTACAAAACAATTCTGTGATAATAAAAATTATTTCTGCGAACAAGACCTAAACACAAATTAAACACAGTACAAAAAATATCATTAGCACATATTAGCTGGGAGAGGCGGAAAAGAAAGCCTTAGACCAGAAATCTAACAGCTTCATAACATAAAGTACTCCTAATCAAACTTCACTTACATTTTTAACACTGAAATGTTTTTAAAAATTGAAATTTTCAATAATTCCTTATTTCAAGGCCACTGAGACAGGTTTCACATTGGTAGGCGTCCGCGGTGCGTGGCTCGGAGTCCAGGACACTGGGGCTCCCTCCGAGCACCCGCCTGCCCTGGGGCTTTCCTAACACCACGCCCTGCTGTGCTCCGCTGACACAGGAGCCCGTGTCAACGTCGCGGCGGCCGCGATGCCTTCACCAAGTGACAAGAAGTGGATTTTGTTGCTGATGTGGTCTGGTCTCCAGGGATAGACAGCTCTTGGGAATGGTTGCTAGGACAACGTTGTTGCTAGGATAATTCCAAGGATCACAAGCAAAATAATTACACAAATAATAATGAACATCATTTTCTGCAAGATAAAGAAAAACATTAATTTGCAATGTATCAAAGACATCAGCAACGCCATTTCCCAACAAAACCCTTCTGAGATTGTGGTGGTTTAAAAGACACGCCTGTCATCAGGAAGGGAAGGGAAGTCCGGAGCAATGCCCGCCATCCCAGTTACAAGTTCATGAACTGGGTCATTAAAACCACAGGGAGAGGTACCAGGTGGTTGCCATGTGTTTGTTAACAAAGACCTTCCCTCAATCTTAACAAAATTCCAGAACTGCTGATAACGGGTGTACTGTGTATCTTTTTAAAACTTCCGATCTGTTTCTCATTGGCTGAGAAAATTCGATTGCTCCATTTTCTTTACCTTTTGATGGGACGCACCTTAACTCAGCCTGCCAGCCGCACCCACAGCCCAGAAGCAGGGCGCACGACAGCTTGGCTTTATTTCTAATGAACAAGGTCCCCACACTACGGATGGGAAGCGCCTCCTCAGGAAACTTGCTGAGGGAGAAGGGAAGGGAGGCGAGGATGAAAGGCACAAGCGCTTTGTAAAAGCAGAGACGCCTCGTTCTCACAGCCACAGGGACCGCAGGAACCCCAGCCACCCCACGAACCCGCAGCCGAGAGCTCAGCGGGCTGTGGAGTGACACCCAGGCCCAGACACCCAGATCTCAGAATGTGGGGGAGTCGTGGTGGGATACCCCTGCCTTCACACGCTGCACCTATTGATGGGGTCTGCATTTCCCGGACAGCCCCAACCACTTCTTCACCCTCCCGGACTCCACAGGGAAGTCCGCACCTTTCTGGAGACATCTTTCTGCCTGGTCTACAGACCTTCCTTCCATCGACCTCCCCCTCCCTTGTATCTCGACAGCCGCCTGTCCGGCTCAGCAGGCTGACCGGAGCCTCCGTGCAGAGCCGACCTGCATCGGACACAGGCCCTGACTGCACCTGTGTGTCCTTGCCACGTGCAGCTCTCGGACGGCTGGGAGGCCCTGGCATTTACGGTGCAGGAGTTCAGCTGTCTTTCCTGCACCCTCAGTACCCTGTGTCTAAAGAGCCATTCCAGCTCCAGCTGACAGACAGATGCATGGACTTCTCTCTCAGCAGAGAGAACCTTGAGAGTCAACACGGTCTTGGGTTCCAGTCATGACTCACTGACCACGGACCAGTGTCTCAGCCTGTCTCCCTACACGTGCAATGGGGCACACACTCGTGCTGCAGGGTTCTGCGGGTTAGGACTGTCTCTTCCAGGCGGCCTTGCACCCTGCCCATCCTCCAGGGCAGGCAGGTACAGCACCAGACTGCAAGTAGGCACTAAACAAGTATCTACTGAAAATGAGAGAATGAATCAACTTTTAAAGCATAATTACAGGGGCCAGCGCTGTGGCGTAGTGGGTAAAGCTGCCACCTGCAGTGCCGGCATCCCATATGGGCACTGGTTCAAGTCCCGGCTGCTCCACTTCCCATCCAGTTCTCTACTGTGGCCTGGGAAAGCAGTGGTTGATGGCCCAAGTCCTTGGGCCCCTGCACCCGTGTGGAAGACCCGGAAGAAGTCTTGGCTCCTGGCTTCAGATCGGCACAGCTCCAGCTGTTGTGGCCAATTGGAGAGTGAACCAGCAGATGGAGACCTCTCTCTCTCTCTCTCTCTGCCTCTCCTTTCTCTCTGTATAACTCTGACTTTCAAATGAATAAATAAATAAATCTTTTTTTTTAAAAAAAATGCGTAATTACAGCCAACAGCCTCCACTCCCTGTACAGAACAGGAGGCGTGCACTTTGGCCTGTTTCTCTTCCATGGAGAAGCACCTGTGTTTACTCTTCTTGACAGGCAGTAGGGTGAACCCCCAGCCAGGCCCAGGGCAGAAGGCATGTCTACTCCCCATGGGTCAGACCAAGAGGAACCTTCCAAACTAAAAACTCTAATTTTATCCTTACTGTAACCACCTTGAACTAATCGTGTTTATGGTTATTGGGAAAATAAAGAAAATACATACTTAAAGAAGAATTATAAAAGGTACTGAAAAATACCACAACGGTAGTGAAGAGAAATCACATCCGATTTTTCAGCAGAGCTAAGCAGAAAGCATGAAGGAAGACAGACTCTGCCAGTGAAGACAGGACTCTGGGTGCCCTTCACCCTCTACAGAAGGGACTGCCAGTGAAGACAGGACTCTGGGCGCCCTTCACCCTCTACAGAAGGGACTGCCAATGAAGACAGGACTCTGGGCGCCCTTCACCCTCTACAGAAGGGACTGCCAGTGAAGACAGGACTCTGGGCGCCCTTCACCCTCTACAGAAGGGACAGGACAGCCTCCCCGCCCAGAGCTTCCTGCCGCCATCGGTGTTCAATGGGAACTGCAAAAGCTGCTCATCTACTAACCGGGCAGTAAGTGTCACAGGCACTCCCACTGAAGAATCCATCTGAGAGACGAACAGCAGGGACCAGCACTGAGGCACAGCGGGTTAAGCTGCTGTTGTGTTACCAGCACCCCACATCAGAGTGCCAGTTTGAGTCCCAGCTACTCCACTCCCACTTCAGCTCCCTCCTAATGCACCTGGGAAATCACAGGATGCTAGCCCAAGTACCTGGGACCCTAAACACCTATGTACCAAACCTGGAGCTCCCGGCTCCTGGCTTTGGCCTGGCCCAGCCCTGGTTGTTGCATCATTTGGGGAGTGAACCAGCAGATGGAAGATCGATTGACATCTGTCTTTCCCCTGTCCCCCATCAAATAAATAAATCTTAAAAAAAAATAATTGAGGGGCCGGCGCTGTGGCACAGCTGGTTAACACCCTGGCCTAAAGCGCCAGCATCCCATGTGGGTGTCGGTTTGAGTCCCAGCTGCTCCTCTTCCCATCCAGCTCTCTGCTGTGGCCTGGGAAAGCAGTAGGGGGTGACCCAAGTCCTTGGGCCCCTGCACCCACGTGGGAGACCAGGAAGAAGCTCCTGGCTCCTGGCTTTGGATTGGCGCAGCTCCAGCCATTGCAGCCAATAGGGGAATGAACCATCGGATGGAAGACCTCTCTCTCTCTGCCTCTCCTTCTATCTGTGTAATGAATAAATCTTTTGAAAAAAATTGAACAGCAGGAGTGAAATTCAACCATATAAGTGATTTCTTTCTGTTATATCTTATTTTAATAAAAAATACCCAGTGACTACCAGTCTGCAGCCACCTGCACAACATCTAAGGGGCTCAGCAGGGACCACCCGCTGCACACCTGGGGGACTGCACACATTCTCATCAGCGATGACACCAACACAGAAATACTGGATGCGCAGACTTAACACACCAGACAGCATTCTAAGAGTTAACGCCAGTAGGATGCTCTACATGCTTAAGAAAACGTGAGGGAAAACACAAAGCTGAGCTAGTGTGTGGCACAGAGGGTTAAGCCACCATCTTGTCACAGGCATCACGCATGAGTGCCAGTCCAAACACAGGCAGCTCCACTTCCGATTCAGCTCCCTGCTAATGTGCTTGGGAAAGCAGGGAAGACGGCCCACGTGCTTGGGCCCCTGCGCCCACGTGGGAGACCCACTTAAGGGTTCCAGGCTCCTGGCTTCAGCCTGACTCAGCCCTGGCTATTATTTGGGAAGTGAACCAGTGGATGAAAGGTCTCCGTCTCTCCCTCTCTCTCTGTAACAATAAATCCTTCTGAAAAAATGCAAAGTCAATTCAAGTTTGGGAAAAGGTGACACACGATGAACAAAAACAATGATATTTTAATAAACTGAGTTTCTTTTACATTCAGAATCTTGTTAAGAATCAACAGGCATGTCAACTAAATAAACATGGTTTTCATTTTAATAAGGATATTATATATAAAGATTTGTTTAGTTGAAAGGCAGAGTTACACAAAGGGGGGGGATTTCTATATCACGGGTTTACTCCCCAGATGGCCACAATGATGGGGGCTGGGCCAGGCCAAAGCCAGGAACCCAGAGCACTATGCAGTTCCACAACATGGTGCAGGAGCCCAGGAACTTGGACCGTCTTCCACTGCGTTCTCGGGCATATTAGCAGAGAGCTGGATCCAAAGTGGAGCAGCCAGCTGGGAGACAGTGTGGAGATCCCTCAGAAATCTGAATGTAGATCTACCATATGACCCCGCCACCCACCCCGGGCACCTACCCCAGGGAAATGACATCAGCACATGAAAGAGCTGTCTGCACCTCCATTGTTTACTGCAGCTCCATTCACATTAACTGAGACACGGAATCAACCCAAATGCCCGTCAGCGGAAGACTGGATAAAGAAATTATGAAACATGTACACCACATAGCAATAAAAAAACGAAATCCGGTAATTTGTAACAAAATGGATGAAACTGGAAAATATCATACTTAGCAAAGTCAGTCAGTCCCAAAGGGACAAATATCCTATGTTCTCCCTGATATGTTGCCTGTGATAATCAACAGAGCACCTAAAAGGCAATCTGTAGAAGTGAAATGGACACTGTGAGAAGCAATGACTCGAACAGCCCTTGTGTCTACTATTGAGGAACAGTTTTTTTTTTTTTCATACTATTTGTTGAACTCTTTACTTAACAGAGTTAATCATATGTGTATAAAGTTAATTGAAAATAGATCTTAGTGGGGCCGGAGCTGTGGCACAGCAGGTTAAAGCCCTGGCCTGAAGCGCCAGCATCCCATACGGGCGCTGGTTCAAGACCTGGCTGCTCCACTTCCTAACCAGCTCTCTGCTATGGCCTGGGAAAGCAGTGGCTGATGGCCCAAGTCCTTGGGTCCCTGCACCCACTTGGGAGACCTGGAAGAAGCTCCTGGCTCCTGGGGAGTGAACCATCAGATGGAAGACCTCTCTCTCTGCCTCTCCTTCTATATGTGTAACTCTGACTTTCAAATAATAAATAAAATAAATCTTTAAAAAAAAAAGAAAATAGATCTTAGTAAAAAATAATAGGAATAGGAGAGGGAGGAGGAAAAGGGATGGGGGAGTGGGTGGGAGGTGGATACAGTGGGAAGAATCACCATGTTCCTAAAGTTGTATTTATGAAATGTGTGAAGTTTGTATTCCTTAAATAAAAGGTTTCGGAGGCGGGGGGGGGGGGGGGGCCAAGAAAATAAAGTGGAGCAGCAGAAACTCGAATTGGTACTCATATGGGATGCCAGCGCTGCAGGCAGTGGTCTAACCTGCTGCACCCAATGCTGGCCCCTGATGATATATTTTTAAAGAAAATCGATGTTGCCAAATAGAAAATTATACAAAAGATTTTAATTACAACCAATGCTTTATATAAGTTAATTTCAAAGCTACAGTTGAAGAGAAACAGTAAGATACTAAGTGCTGGCTCTAACTGACCAGCCCTCACCAGTGTGGGTGGTTCTGACCTCTGGGGAGGGCTGCTGTGTGGCCTGGGAAAGCAGTGGAAGATGACCCAAGGGTCTGGGCCCCTGCCCCCCACTTGGGAGACCTGGATGAAGCTCCTGGTTCCTGGATTCAGCCTGGCCCAGCCCTGGCCGACGTGGCCAACTGGGGCGTGACCCAGCAGACCGCTCTCTCTGTCTCTTTCTTTCTCTGTAGCTCTAACAAATAAATAAATTTAAAAATATTAAAAAATCAAATAAAAACCATGTAAGGCAGCAACTTTGGATTAAAAACAAATGGCCACATGGCCTGTGATCAAGCTCAGTAAGCAGAGCCGCTGACTGGAGACCAGAACCCAGCGTGCGGGGCAACAGGCTCAGGATTGCAACAGCCAGCAGGCAAGTGTTCACAATCTGAATAAATTAAGGTCGGGCAGGCGCAACTAGTGGCTAACAAGTGGATTAGTTGATTAGTTACTTACTGCCACCCTGGCAGAGAGCCATGCACAGTGATGTCATCCGCACCATCATTTGCCAACTGATAAACCAATAATTAGAGCAATTATGGCAACCAGAACCACTGACACAGCAACAATTATCCACTTTTTCTGTCAAAGAAAAGCAAGCTGGTTACATCATGGTTAATGTTGTATCACCGTATAAAAGACATTCTTCATTTAAAATAAAACGATCTGTCAGAACTTACTTTAAAGTCTAACTAACAGGACATCTGCTTGCTGCTGTCTGGGGGGCTCCCGTTCTCAGTGGTTTAACTGAAGGAGGCCGCTCACAATGCAGGCCTCACTGCTGGGGAGCACAGGGCCACAGCACGTGCACCAGACCCACTGCTAAGCGCTGCACCGGGTAGGCACACGGCCTGCTCCGTACACTCAGAGAGCAGTCAGCTACCAGGAGGACATTCCAGCCACACTGTGGGCCTCTCGGGCCACAGCTCCCCTGGGGAACAGCACAGGACACCAGCAGAGGGCGTGATCCACATCCAGCCAGAAGCGATTAGAGCAGTGCGGGGATGAGCGAAGCAAGCTGGCGGTCTTAGTTACCAGGATTCGTTAGAGTGACCTCCCCTGGCCAGGCCACAGTCGGGGGAATGTGCACCCCCAACAGCGGACAAAGCCGCAGCCCCTTCCCTCTTGTAAAAACCATGAACTTTAATCGATGTGTCCACAGGATGACACCTCTAGGTCGTGGAGAAAAGGAATGCAGCTGCCTTCTCTGAGAAATGTGCTTGGACCTTGCTAAGCACTTCACACCTTGTAGCTCAGCGCGGTGAGTATGCTGGGGTAACTCTTACACGTGGGACCACAAGACAGCATGAGAAGCCATGGCATCCACTTCTCACCGTGGACAAGCTCCGAGGCTGAGGCCGCAGCCCACGTACGGCTCCCCACAGTGCACGGGGCACAAGCAGCCCCGCTGTGCACGTGCCCTAGCTCTGCGCTGGCACCACTTCTGAAACATTCCCCTGGGGCTGGCGCTGTGGCACAGTGGGTAAAGCCGCTGCCTTCAGTGCCAGCATCCCACATGGGCGCTGGTTCTAGTCCCAGCTGCTCCACGTCCGATCCAGCTCTCTACTATGGCCTGGGAAAGCAGTGGTCCATGGCCCAAGTCCTTGGGCTCCCGCACCCACGTGGGAGACTCGAAGGAAGCTCCTGGCTCCGGACAGGCGCAGCTCCGACCGTTGTGGCCATCTGGGAGTGAACCAGCGGAAGGAAGACTCTCTCTCTCTCCCTCTCTGCCTCTCCTTCCCTCTCTGTGTAACTCTTTCAAGTAAATAAATAAATCTTTAAAAAAGAAAGAAACACCCCTGCCCTGAGCACTGAGCACTCAGCCTCTGAGGAAGGCACTGAAAACCCAGGTCACTCAGGGAGGTGGGAGCACAGCACCCAGCACCCAGACCACACAGGCGTCCTGCGTCACTGCTCCTCCACACGAGAAGACAGCAAAGGAGAGGGGCCGGCGCCACGGTGCAGCGTGTAAAGCTGCCGCCCACAGTGCTGGCACGCACCTCAGAGTGCGGTTCCAGGCCTGGCTGCTCTGCTTCCAACTCAGCGCCCTGCTAATATACCTGGGAACACAGCCCACGGCTCAGCCCTGCCACCCACGTTCCCGGCTCCTGGCTTCAGCGTGGCCCAGCCCTGGCCATCGCAGCCATCTGAGGAGTGAACCAGGGATAGATCTCTTTCTCCAGTTCTCCACCTCTCTCCATCACTCTCCTCTCAAACAAATAAATCTTAAAAAAAAAAAAAGTCAGAGGCAATAATAAAAGATCTAAACAAGTAGATTCACTTTTAAATTCTGGCCCCAGTAACAAAAAAAAAAAAAAAAAAGAAAAAAGAAAAGAAAAGAAAAAAATGCACAAAGAGTCCTTTACCCTTGTGAAACCTCCCTTCCTCTGAGGACCCAAGCGGGTGCTAGGGTGGCGTGAGGCCACAGTCGCAGATCACTCTCTCCTCCAACCAGAGGGTTAGCAATCATCTGAATAAGCAGATGTGGAACCAACAATTTTTAGGAGACTTCCCATCTCATCAGTTTTGCAACTCCCTGCAAATAATGACCCAAGAAACAGAATTCAAAAATTCAATTCCATCCAACCTAGACGAGGAAAACGGCCCTGACTGGTTCGTGAAGGGTTCTGATTACCTGGAATACAAAACGGTCTATAGGCTACAGGACTCTGAAAGCTGTTAGCAAAAAGAACCATTTCAGTTTTAAAACAAACATCATTAAAGGAATTTTTATTTCTTGGAAAATGTTTCAGGAAGACTTACATTACTGCACTGAGGACTGAAATCAAATGAGAAGGAAAAGACACATTAACTTAATTTATTAATTTGATCAAATTTAATTAATGAGGCCCAAACTTACCCTTCTGGCTTTGCTGTGATATTTGATAGCTTTCTTAGTTTCTTCTTTAGCATGTTCTACATAGTCTGCAGCATTCATAACGTTTTTTTCTATGTTGTTGATCATGTCACCCTTAAAACAAAAAGTTTCAAACTTAGAAGATATTTCAAATGACTTTATATATCTTAAGACAGCCACATGACAATGTGTTCACACATGACGTGAGCATGTAAGGTGTATGAAGCTTTTCCACATTCCCAGCAAGGTGAAAGGTGAGAGCACTATGAAGGGGCAACACAAAGCAGCCAACATCCACCGACATTTCAGGAAGGACTGAAGGGACGGGCAACATCTGAGACGGCTTCCACTCGGAGCACAGCACAGATGAGCCAGGCGAAGGCACAGCAGGGGGCTTGGGTTACACCAAGAGTTACCACTGTGGACAAACATACATACAAAGGATGGCATCCTTTCTAGCAGGTGGAAAACGGCGACTTCTTTACAATAGCACTAAACTAAGTATAGCTTCTGTCTTGCACTAGGTTGGATAAATCAATGAACAAGAATGTAAATGGAGGTGAATCCAGCAAAATGTTAGGGAAGAAACACGTACCTGTCCTCTGGCCAGCAGCAGACGGGATCTGCAGCAGGGGCAGCACAGCATTGAAAAAGGAGGACACTCAGCTCACTCAAAGTTCAGACTCTCACTGACCAGCAAGTGACCACCTGCCGTGGGCCTCAGGCAGGTGCCCACGTGGCAGCACTGACTGCTCACAAAGCTAAGCACACAGCGGCTTTCTACCGAACAGGATGGTGAGAACTTCAGGTGCAGTGACATCCTTAGCAAGCACAGCCTCCTCCTCTGACTGTCTAACTGGTCTCCTCTGGACCACGTCCTGAAATAAGACACTTTGGGCACCTGGTGACCACGTCCTAGATCACAAATGCAGTCAGCAAGGAGTGAAGCTGAGCCACCCTGCCCCTGGGTGCACGTTAGCTTCTCTAGCAAATCCACGGTTCCTCGAAATAAACAGTGTCCAACAGGTCAGGAAGCGGGGACAGAGCCCCGAGGTGGCAGTCACAGGAACACTGTTCCACAGTCAGGAAGCGGGGACAGAGCCCCGAGGTGGCAGTCACAGGAACAGTGTTCCAGTCAGGAAGCGGGACAGAGCCCCGAGGTGGCAGTCACAGGAACAGTGTTCCACAGGTCAGGAAGCAGGACAGAGCCCCGAGGTGGCAGTCACAGGAACAGTGTTCCAGGTCAGGAAGCGGGACAGAGCCCCGAGGTGGCAGTCACAGGAACAGTGTTCCACAGTCAGGAAGCGGGACAGAGCCCCGAGGTGGCAGTCACAGGAACACTGTTCCAGGTCAGGAAGCGGGACAGAGCCCCGAGGTGGCAGTCACAGGAACAGTGTTCTAGGTCAGGAAGCGGGACAGAGCCCCGAGGTGGCAGTCACAGGAACAGTGTTCCACAGTCAGGAAGCGGGACAGAGCCCCGAGGTGGCAGTCACAGGAACACTGTTCTAGGTCAGGAAGCGGGGACAGAGCCCCGAGGTGGCAGTCACAGGAACAGTGTTCCACAGTCAGGAAGCGGGACAGAGCCCCGAGGTGGCAGTCACAGGAACAGTGTTCCACAGTCAGGAAGCAGGACAGAGCCCCGAGGTGGCAGTCACAGGAACAGTGTTCCACAGTCAGGAAGCGGGACAGAGCCCCGAGGTGGCAGTCACAGGAACAGTGTTCCACAGTCAGGAAGCAGGACAGAGCCCCGAGGTGGCAGTCACAGGAACAAGCCCATCACACGGAGCCCTGGCAGAGGGCAACTCCAGCCAAACTGGCCCTGAACCCCTCCCATGAGGACCACCGATCAGGCGCCTGCCCTTCCTCTGGTGGTCAGCAGGGTGCCTGCTCCCCTCAGGGTACTCAGAAACAGGGGAGGACACAGCTGGGACTCACAGGAGCACACCCAGAAGTCTCACGGAAACGGGCCATCAGGTGCTTTACACGAACTGTGTTCTCACTAAAAATTGCACTCTTTCTTTAGTCTGCCCAAAGGGCCCTTCCCTGCCACCTGGCACTCCCGCCTGCGCCTCTGCACAGACTGAGACATGATGTAATCACATAAGCTGTGACTTGTGGGAGGGGCCATTTCCCCTCTGGGGCTTACGGTTTTACAGATTCTGCCAAGTCACTACAACAGCCATCCTTGTAGAAAACTTGAAAATACAGCTATTTAGAGGATAAAATTAAAATCCCCACCGTCCCACTGTGGGCATGCTGTTCATGTTTTCTCTGTGAAGCCTGCTTTATGTGGCCAAGTTCATGTTTTACATTGTGTGCGTGTGTGTGTGTGTGTGCGTGTGTGTGTGGGTACACGTACCTGTTTCTGTATATACGTATGGGTAAACCATAAGAGTCTGCATCTCCCTTCAACTACTGTAGCAGAAACATTTGCTGTCTCGTTAGCAATCCCCCGAACAAGCATGGTGCTGCTGCGGCTGCGGACAGGCTGCCCACGCCCACAGCTTCACCGTTCAGAGCTCAAGCTGCTCCTAGCACTCCCACACTACATACAACACTGCAATTCACTGCTGAATTGTGGGACTAGATCCAAAACCACGATGGCTGCAGAGCGTGGGGTCACACACAAGATGCACAGCAGGGTCTGTTTTAGAGCGGGGAGCCCGCGTGCGCCACCACCTGTGTCTCGACGAACATGGCCATGTCCATGAACATCTCGTGCAGCTCCCGGATGCTGCTCTCCAGCTTCATGATGTCTTTGTGGCGCGACTCAATCTCATTGAGAGCTTGTCTAGTGATCTGTGAGTCTGAAATGATCTTTGGAAAACAGGAAAGAGAACTCGTTAGCTGAGGCTGGTCCAGAAGCTGAAGGAAGCCGCGTTTAGCAAGGAGCCCACAGCACTGCGTGCACTCACGTCGGAGATGAAGACGGAAGGCTTCCCGCTCTCCAGCATCTCCTCCAGCTCCTCACTGGTCGTAGTCCTCCCAGCTGAGACAACAGGCAAAGGCTCCACTCAGGGGCGGCCTCTGGCTACGAGACCACAGGGCCCCACGACGGAGCACCTGGTTCTACACCCGGCCCCAGCCTGACCCCAGCTTCCCGCTGATGCAGACGCTGGGAGACAGCAGGCACGGTCCATCACATGGGAAATCTGAGTGGAGGTCGTGGCCCCAAGCCTCAGGACCCCAACAGCTGAGTGAACTCCCAGACAGGAGGACTTTCCCTCTGTCGCTCTGCTTCTGTCTCTCTCCCTCTCAAAGAAATCATTAAAAAAAAAACCTCCACTCAGAATATGGAGTCACTAAAAACCAATGACTTGCTCAATGATAAGTAAACAACTAAAATCTAACAGTCATTAACATTTTTCAACTGTATTTTTGTGTTCCTTCAAATATGACAGGTGAGAGAAAAGGAGCCGAGACTCAGAAGCAGATAACCTTACAACTGGGGCGAAGGAAATCTGACTTTGGTGTTAATGACGGAATCAGGAACCCAGGAATCAGGAACCCGGGAATCAGGAACCCGGGAATCAGGAACCCAGGAATCAGGAACCCAGGAATCAGAACCCGGGAATCGGGAACCCGGGAATCGGGAACCCGGGAATCAGGAACCCAGGAATCAGGAACCCAGGAATCAGAACCCGGGAATCGGGAACCCGGGAATCGGGAACCCAGGAATCAGGAACCCAGGAATCAGGAACTCAGGAATCAGAAACCCAGGAATCAGAACCCAGGCTCTGGCACAGTTTTCTTGAGAGTTCACTTTCGGCTTCCACAAAGGGGCACTGTGCTGAACACAGCACCTGTGACATGGACAGGCAGAATCAGAAGTGGCCACCTTCCAGACACAGCAGGACTGGCTGAAGGACAAGGAATGCACAGAAATGCACTGCCCCGACTCCCCATTTTCTGAGAGACGTAAATGATAACCAATAAAGTTTGACTTATTTGGGGCCGGCGCTGTGGCACAGCAGGTTAAAACCCTGGTCTGCAGCACTGGCATCCCATTTAGGAATCGGTTCAAGTCCCAGCTACTCCACTTCGGATCCAGCTCTCTGCTGTGGCCTGGGAAAGCCGTAGAGGATGGCCCAGGTCCCTGGGCCCCTGCACCCTCGTGGGAAACCCAGAGGAAGCTCCTGGCTTCAAATCAGCTCAACTCCAGCCGCTGTGGCCATTTGGGGGGTGGGCCAATGGATGGAAGACCTCTCTCTCTGTGTCTACCTCTCTCTTTAACTGTCAAATGAATAAAATAAGTATTTTTTTAAAAAAAGTTTGACTGATTCAAGAACAGAAACCTATGAAAAGTTGAAAGTAGAGATGCAATTCCTTTTATGAAGTTAAAGTACTCTGAAGGGAGACTCTGGGGGGAGGGGCAGAAAACAATTCTTCAGACAGAAGCCCACGCACTCACTTATCTCCAGCTGACGCTGTATACGGCCTTTGCTGCGCTCCCGAAACAGAGTCTGTGCTTCGTTATACTCCGTCATGACTTCCACAAACTTTCGAGACAGCACTGAATGCTAATAACACAGAAGACAACTACATGAATATGTAAACGGGCAGTTCTACTAAAAGTGATCGATAAGACCAACACGCTTTGGAAAGTGAGAGTGAGAAAGTGAGAAGTGAGAATAACAGCGGTGTACTGCAACAGAATCGGTGCAAGATCGGACCTGCACTCCCTTCCTCACGTTCAACAGCCCCACTCTACTCTTCATCTCTCCCGCACAGAGAAGAGAAAACACGAATAAGAGAGGTCAACAGACCACAGCTCAGATTTTAGTAACCAAGACTTTACTAGGGGTGGAAACCGAGCAGGCTGTCCACAGGGCTTACATGCGTGGCCCAGCTACAGGCGTGGAAGCCAAGCAGGCTGTCCACAGGGCCCGTCTGCCTGAACGCTGGTAAAGAGGGCCAAGTGCTATGGGCTCCTCTTGGATGCTCCATAAACTTATGATGAGAATCTTCCCAGAAGTGCTGAGAATAAACAGGTCGGTAAGAATGCGAGAGGAGAAGGTGAAGTATCTATCCATGGGCATGATCACAGTATCAATGAGGTTGTCAAGCAAACCTGGGTTCTTCGTATCCGAAGATCCACAGAAGTTCGGTTCCCACTCTCATCCTGATCAAAACTTTGTTCAATGGCTAGAAACATACAGGAAAGAGTTATCTTTTCAATTTAAAAACCAACGTTTTTCAAGCCAAACCTCAAATTGCTTTTCTTTCTTATCTTGGAAGCATATCTCTTCAAAAAATTAATGTTAAAGCCTAGGTGACCTTTTAAACTAATCCACTAAAAAGACTATCCATCGGCCGGTGCTGTGGCTCACTAGGCTAATCCTCCGCCTGCGGCGCCAGCACACCAGGTTCTAGTCCAGGTTGGGGCGCCGGATTCTGTCCCAGTTGCTCCTCTTCCAGTCCAGCTCTCTGCTGTGGCCCGGGAGTGCAGTGGAGGATGGCCCAAGTGCTTGGGCCCTACACCCACATGGGAGACCTGGAGAAGCACCTGGCTCAGCACGGTGCGCCGGCCGCAGCAGCCATTGGAGGGTGAACTAATGGTAAAGGAAGACCTTTCTCTCTGTCTCTCTCTCACTATCCACTCTGCCTGTCAAAAACAAACTCAAAAAGACGATCGAATTTTTTCATTTTTTCACCTGCTTTCTCTTGATCATTGCACAGACTGATACTATGTAGGAGCAGGCCAGAACGGAGAAGCCCGCCCCCTCTATTGTATGCTGGGCACACCTTGGCGTAGGCTGTGCTGGCTACTGCAAATATTCGGGCACTAAACTCAATATATCATTTTTAAGGGACTAGGAACAGCGACCGTGCTGTCCACTCATTTGA